CATCCTGCTCATCTTCATCGTGCCACCCACACCCGAATAGAATCGTCGTGGGCCTTCAAAAGCATCATCGCCGTCATGGGACGTCGTCTATCCACCTCTAAATGAAGGCCTATCCCCCCATCGCCATCGTCGTTTTCATCACCGCCATCACCACAATCGCTGTTAGCCATCACCATCATTGTCGCCATCATCATCGCCGCCACTGCCATCACCATCATTGTCGCCATAATCATCATCATCATCATCCCCACTGCCATCACCATCATTGTCGCCATCATCATCGCCGCCACTGCCATCACCATCATTGTCACCATAATCATCATCATCATCCCCACTGCCATCACCATCATTGTCGCAATCATCATCGCCATTGCCATCACCATCATTGTCGCCATCATCATCATCATCATCGCCACTGCCATCACCATCATTGTCGCCATCATCCCCACTGCCATCACCATCATTGTCGAAATCATCATCGCCACTGCCATCACCATCATTGTCGCCATCATCATCAACGCCATTGTCATCACCATCATTGTCGCCATCACCATCACCATCATTGTCGCCACTGCCATCACCATCATTGTCGCCATCATCATCATCGCCACTGTCATCACCATCATTGTCGCCATCACCATCACCATCATTGCCGCCACTGCCATCACCATCATTGTCGCCATCATCCCCACTGCCATCACCCTCATTGTCGAAATCATCATCATCATCATCGCCACTGCTATCACCATCATTGTCGCCATCATCCCCACTGCCATCACCATCATTGTCGAAATCATCATCATCATCATCATCGCCACTGCCATCACCGTCATTGTCGCCATCATCATCATCATCATCGCCATTGTCATCACCATCATTGTCGCCATCACCATCACCATCATTGTCGCCATCATCATCATCGCCACTGCCATAACCATCATCGTCGCCATCATCCCCACTGCCATCACCATCATTGTCGACATCATCATCATCATCGCCACTGCCATCACCATCATTGTCGCCATCATCATCATCATCGCCACTGCCATCACCATCATTGTCGCCATCATCATCATCATCATCGCCACTGCCATCACCATCATTGTCGCCATCATCATCATCCCCACTGCCATCACCATCATTATCGCCATCATCATCATTGTCGCCATCATCATCGCCACTGTCATCACCATCAGCGCGTTGAGGAATGTGCCAGTTTTATTAAACCGCGTAACCATGGGAACGCGATTGCTGCCGTAAGACAGATTATCTTTACACGTGCACTGCCGATGCCACTGCTGATACTGCTGCTGCTGATACTACTGCTGCCGATACTACTGGTTGCTGCTACTGCTGCTGCTGATTCTACTGGTTGCTACTGCTGCTGATACTATTGGTTGCTACTGCTGCTGCTGATACTACTGGTTGCTACTGCTGCTGCTGATACTACTGGTTGCTACTGCTGCTGATACTATTGGTTGCTACTGCTGCTGCTGATTCTACTGGTTGCTACTGCTGCTGCTGATACTACTGGTTGCTACTGCTGCTGATACTACTGGTTGCTACTGCTGCTGCAGATTCTACTGGTTGCTACTGCTGCTGCTGATACTACTGGTTGCTGCTGATACTACTGGTTGCTGCTACTGCTGCTGATACTACTGGTTGCTACTGCTGCTGCTGATACTACTGGTTGCTACTGCTGTTGCTGATACTACTGGTTGCTGCTGCTGCTGATACTACTGGTTGCTACTGCTGCTGCTGATACTACTGGTTGCTACTGCTGCTGCTGATACTACTGGTTGCTACTGCTGTTGCTGATACTACTGGTTGCTGCTGCTGCTGATACTACTGGTTGCTACTGCTGCTGCTGATACTACTGGTTGCTACTGCTGCTGCTGATATTACTAGTTGCTACTGCTGCTGATACTACTGGTTGCTACTGCTGCTGCTGATACTACTGGTTGCTGCTGCTGTTGCTGATACTACTGGTTGCTACTGCTGTTGCTGATTCTACTGGTTGCTGCTGCTGCTGTTGCTGATACTACTGGTTGCTACTGCTGCTGCTGATACTACTAGTTGCTGCTACTGCTGCTGCTGATACTACTGGTTGCTACTGCTGTTGCTGCTACGACTGGTTGCTACTGCTGCTGCTGCTGATACTACTGGTTGCTACTGCTACTGGTTGCTGCTGCTGCTAATGCTGCTGCTGCGTCAATGCAGTCTCTAGCTCTATACTGTACGTCGTGCGAGTCGTGCGCTGGCAGAGGCGTGAGTGGACAAAATCATCATCAGACATGTTCACTCCACTGCTGGATGAAGGCCTCTCCCAAGCCGCCGCCGCCACCGCTCACGATCCTGCGAAGTAACGGTCCACCCAGGATCCGCACGCGAGGAGCGGCTTTCATCATTGCTCCATCTCCACAACGACGGCCCTCGGAAGAGATCCATTGCCTTGGTCTGCACTCCGTAATTACCCTCGAACGTCGGCCATCATCAAGCCCTTGCCCAACCCACACTGACCGGCGTGGTGAAGTATGGTCAACCAATCCCCCCGGCCCACGTGTGGGTTTAGAGGACCGCTTTGATGAGGATGGCGAGGGATGTCGACCAGCCACGCTGCCTGACACGTGTCTCCCTCTGTGGGACATTGCCATGCAATGTTCCGACATCACACATTACAGAATTTTTATTATTGAGCTCATTAAATATATATATCGTAATATAAAACAGACGGATGAGTTAACGCGTGTGCGTTGTGTATGTGGAGTGTGTGTGGCGACACGTGTGCTTGGGGTGTGTGTGTATGGTTGGTGTGTGTGCGTTGTGTGTAGTGCGTTTGTGTGTTGTGTGTATATGTTGTGTGGTGTATGTGGTCATTCCGTCTACGATGAATTAAACATAATTTAATATGATGATAGGCAAAATTACGGCTATTTTGCCCAATCCATTACCACTCAGATCATTATCATCATAACCAGTGCCATCTTCAGCAACTGCTGTAGCAGCAGCAACAGCAGCAGCATCATCAGCAGCAACATCAGCAGCTGTCGCATTGCCACCTATCCATGCATCTGTGAACCGTGAGCTGTGAACCGCAGTGAAAAATCATATAGCAGCCGTGATCATCATCAGCATCATCATCAGCAACAGTAGCATCACCTGCAGCATCACCATCAGCAGCAGATGCACCAACAGCAGCACGATTAGCATCAGCTGTATCATCATCCGCAGCAGCATCGGATGAATGCACACTTACAGTAAGACCATAACGAAGCACTTGAATGGCATCATCATCAGCAGCAGTATCTGCAGCATCGTCATCAATCATCAGCAGCAGCAGCAGCAGCATCATCATCAGCAGCAGCATCAGCAAGAGCATTTGAGTTGATGATCATCATCGCCGCCGTCATTATTATTTTATTGCCAGCATTTGTTCTCTCTTCTCCCTCCCTCTTACCCCCCACTCTCCCCCCCACTCTCTCCTCCCTCTCCCCCACTCCCTCCTCCCTCTCCCCCCACTCTCTCCTCCCTCTCCCCCCACTCTCTCCTCCCTCTCCCCTCACTCTCGCCTTCCTCTTTACTCTCCCCCCTCTCTATCTCCTCTCCCCCTCCCTCCCCACCCCTTCTCTCTCTCTCACCCCAGAGCCGCACGCGCACGCGCAGTGCGCGCGACACTCGCATCTGCTCAGGAATTTGGGGGCAGATTTCTCTTTCTGCCGCATTCCGCACCCTGGCAGCAGCAGCATCATCATCAGCAGCAGCAGCATTATCAGCATCATCATAGTCAGCATTATCATCAGCAGCATCATCATTGTTAGCAGTTGCACCAGCAGCATTATCATCATCAGCAACAGCAATTGCACATAATCGTTATCAGCAGCAGATGCATCGTTATCATTATCATCAGCAGCAACAGCATCACCATCGTCATTATCAGCAGCAGTAGCATCAGCAGTTACACATCATTATTAGAAATTGCATCATCATCAGTAGCAGATGAATCATTTGCAGCAGTTGCATACTTATCATCAGCAACATCATCATCATCTGCATAAAGGACAATCATAACATCAGCAGCAGTAGCATCAGCAGTTGCATGATCAGCAGTATCAGAAACAGTTGAACGACCATCATTATCAGCAGGATTAGCAACAGCAACAGTTGCAGCAGTAGCATCGTGAACATCAGCAACAGTGGCATCAGTCTGTCATCCCAGACACACTTCCCGAATGTTGGAATCACGTCAGGAATTGCAGCCAGGGCTCGTGGCGAGGGAGTGCGGAGGTGGGGAGGAGAGGGGTGGATGGTGTTGGTGGTGGTGTCTCATGGTGTGTGTACGTGTGTGTACGTGTGTGTATATACAACCCCTCGTGTGTCGTGTCGGCCTTCATAGGTGCTCGAAAACAGCACTCGCCCTAACAGTCTGATGAGGCTATAAGGGGGATCTTTGTCTTTGTATGCCTGTGAGCGGTCGCGTGTAGCAGTTAGCGCACTGCGCTCCGAACCCGGCGACCCGGGTTAGATTCCCGCTCACGGCCAACACCAGTGACGATGATCTGAGCTGGTCCTGGGCTTCCACTAGGCCGACTCAGCCTCCAATGAGTACCTGGTGAGGTGTGTAAACATTGCCACTAGAGAGACAAAGGCGGCCGGGCGTGGTTCTGGCCACCGACCCCCTCGTATGCCGTCCTGGCCTTAAATAGTGCTCGCTAACAACGCTTGACTCCAACAGTCTGTTAAGGCTACACGGGAGATCTTTGCCTTTGTGTGCGTGCGCGCCGGTGGGGGTAGCGGTCAGGCAGCGCGAGTCGCGTGTGCGTGTTGGGGGCGGGGGGGTGGAGGCTGCGTGGGGAGGGAGGGGGCAGAGAGACGGAGCGAGCGAACTGGCGAGAGAGAGAGAGCGCGTGCGATAGGAGGGGGAGAGGGCGCGAGAGGGAGGGAGGGAGCAGAGAGAGAGTGCGAGAGAGTGAACAGCAGCAGGAGGGGGAGGGGGAGTGAGGTTTGGGGAGTTGCGCAGGCGCGGCGGATGGATGCCACGGCGCTCTGAGTGTCTGTGCCGCGCGTCGTCTCCAGCATCACCGCTGCCATCGTCACGAGCGGCCGCGCTGAGAGGGAGGCAGCAGCTGCAGCAGCGGCAGCAGCGGCAGCAGCAGCGCAAAGATGCGCGAAGCCTCCACGGCAGCCACTCGCCCGCCGCCCCTTCCCGAGCGCCGATAGCGCAGAGACGCAGGCGCAAGGCCGCTGCCGCCGCGCGCGACGCGAGAGTGTTGCGTGCGAGAGTGTTGGAGAGAGAGAGAGTGTTGCGTGCGAGAGCGGCAGAGAGAGATAGAGAGAGAAGGGGGAGCGAGGCGTCGAGGAGAAGAAGGTGGAGAGAGTTCGGGAGCTCTCCTCTTGCTCTCTCTGCGTTATATCCGCTCTCTCGCTCGGCGCGCGCGCGCTCCGCACATCTTCAAGCGCGCTCACAAAGTTGCCTCTTCGTGCGGAGGAGCCATCATCAGAGGAGCCGCGAGCAAGGGGGGGGGGGAGATCAAGCGAGAGACTCCAGGGAGGACGCGAGTCACACGAGGAGACGGGAGGGAGCGGAAGAGGAGAAAGAAGGCGGCAGGCGCTGTCGTCTCTCGATCGCCGGCGTCCGGAGTCACCCACCCGGTGCCGGTGCCGAACTTGGATTTTGGCGAACGGTAGGTAGGAGGAGGGTGAGTGCTGGTGCTGGTGGACGTGGTGGTGGGTGCTGCTGCTGGTGGAGGTTGGTGGGAGCGGTGGTGGTTAGCGCGCGGTGCTACGAACCCAGCCAACCCGGTTCGAGTCTCGCTCACGGAAAAAACCGGTGACGAATATCTGAACCGGTCCTGGACTTCCCCTAGGTCGATTCAGCCTCATACGAGTACCTGGTGTGGAGTGTAAACATCGCCACTGGGGAGACAAAGGCGGTTGTAAGTAGTGATCGCTTCCGACCCGCTCGTGTGCCTTGCCGGTCTTCACGAGTGCTCGCTAACAACATCTGCCCCAACAGTCTGTTTAGGCTATACGGTGGATCTTTATATTTTGGTGGTGGTAGAGATTATGGTGGTGGCAGAGATTGTGGTGGTGGTTGTAGTGGAAGTTGAGGTGGTCGCGGTGGTGGAGGTGGTGGTGGTGGTGTGATTGATAATTATCAATGGCAATCACAACTTGCAATTATATTTATAATTGCAAGTTGTGGGGATTGAGAGAGCTGTGAACTGCCCGCGTTCTACACTCACACGGCGAGACTTGGGGACGAGAAGACACGGGCGTGTGGAGAGACACGAACACTCGGGGCTACACGGGGATGAAGACATGGGGAAGGGGGAGACACGGCGACAGGGAGGGACACGGCGAGATACGGAGAGACATTTGGATACTTGCGGATACGGGGAAACTGAGACTGGGATATGTAGACGGGGAGACCTCGAGAGACACGGGGACAGGTAGACAGAGACATATGAAGACTTATTCATACGGGGAGACACGGGAGAGCACAGGGAGACAGAAACATGCAGGGAAATTGGTAGACACGAGGAGACATGGGGTTAGGGGAGGCACAGGGAGACGTGGAGAGACGAGAGGGGTGCGGGGATAGCCACGACGGAGGTGTTCGGGGAGAGTTGGGAGAGAGACGGCGGAGCAGAGAACCTCCAGATCGCCGGTTCGCTTGACGCGGAGACACTGGCAGACACCGGGGGGGAGACAGAGAGACAGGGCGCGGGGCAGGGGGAGACGGGGATACCGGGGGGCAGAGGCTGAGCAGAGGCGACTCGCGGAGACTTGAGGAGCGCGAGACGGAGCCACGGGGAGACGAGGGGGAGACGTGGGGACAGGGAGACACGGGGAGACGAGGGGGAGACGTGGGGACAGGGAGACACGGGGAGACGAGGGGGAGACGTGGGGACAGAGAGACACGGGGAGACGAGGGGGGGGGGGACGTGGGGACAGACAGAACACAGGAGAGGAGTCTCTCCGTCTGTATTTCTGTCTCTCCGTGTATGGGGGGCAGTGGCGCGGCGGTTAGCGCGCTGTGTTTACGAACCCGGCGACCCAAGTTCCATTACGGCTCACGCCCAACACCAGCAGCGATTATCTGAACCGAGTCTGGGCGTCCCCTCCGTCTACTCGGCCTAAAATGGGTAACTAGTACGGTGTGTAAACATCACCACTCGGGAGACAAAGGTGGCCGGGCGTGGTGCTGGCCACCCACCCCCTAGTGTGCCGTGCCGGCCTCATAGGTGCTCGCTAACAGCACTTGCCCTAAAAGTCTGTTGAAGGCCATCAGGGGTGTGGGGGTGTGGGGATCTTTATGCCTGTCCGTGTGTGTCGGTGATGAGGCTGTGAGTAGTAGATGGGCACGCTGTGCACATCGCGACACGCGCACGGGTCCCCCGCTGCAGCCCCAGCAGAGTGTTGGGGCCGCGCTGTCAGACACGCGGCGCGCCAGAGGCGGCCATCACCAATGACACGCCCGGCCGTCTTTGTATCCCCAGTTGCTGCCCGTAACACACGGGTACTCATTTAAGGCCGAGTCGACCTTTAGGAGGACCCAAAACCGACTCGGAAAACCGTCACCGGTGTTGACCGTGAGCGGGAATCGAACTCGGGTGGCCGGCCTCTCGCAGTGCCGCCGCTCTACCGCACGCGGCCCCTGCCCGGCGCTCTGGGGGACGAGGGCCTCCAGGCGCGGCGCGCTCGGGCTCCGCGAGCGAGCGAGCGAGCGAGCGAGCGAGGAGGAGGGTTGGTGGCGGGGCACAGAGGAGCCGTGCCCACCGTGACAACTCCGTAATGTTGTTCCGCACGCTGCTTCCGCCATCCAGACGAGAACCGGCTTGGCTTCCGAGATGTGCAGAGATTGGGGCGCATTCCGCGTGATTTCTTCATGGCTCTGTGGGTATTTGTGCGTGTGTGTGTGTGTACGTGTGTGTGTGTGTGCGTGTGTGTGTGTACGTGTGTGTGTGTGTGTGTACGTGTGTGTGTACGTGTGTGCGTGTGTGTGTGTGTACGTGTGTGTGTGTACGTGTGTGTGTGTACGTGTGTGTGTGTACGTGTGTGTGTGTGTACGTGTGTGTGTGTACGTGTGTGCGTGTGTGTGTGTACGTGTGTGTGTGTACGTGTGTGTGTGTGTGTACGTGTGTGTGTACGTGTGTGTACGTGTGTGTGTGTGTGTACGTGTGTGTGTGTACGTGAGTACTTTGCGTACTCGGGATTCCTATCGGTGCTTGATAGGAATCTGACCTGCCAATCACTGCGTGGGGAGCGGTGGCGCAGTGGTTCGAGCGCCGCGCTCCGAACCCCGCGGTCCGGATTTTGATCCCCGCTCACGCCCAAAACCCAGCATGGGCCTCCCCTAAGTCGATTCAGCCTCAAATGATTACACTATGTAACCCAATTTTTGTTCCTGTGTACTTTGTGAACGAAAGACACAAATGCACACGTTTTCACATTGAAAATAGGTAGATTTCAAAATATTGTCCTGGTCACAAAAGCAAAGTTTGTGGGGAATAATAGCCACTTTCTGTACTTTTGAGTCATAAGCAATTAAGAACTAACACTTACTACCCAGAAACATTTTTTTGTGTTACACGCTGATGGCCACCCACCCCCTCGTGCGCCGGGTCGCCCTTCGCCGGCGCTCGGCCTGTCACGGGTCCGGGGGGCGATCTTTGCCGCGTGGGTGCCGAGTCGAGCCCACGGGTGCCGAGTCGAGCCCACGGGTGCCGAGTCGTGCCCACGGGTGCCGAGTCGTGTCCACGGGTGCCGAGTCGAGCCCACGGGTCCCGAGTCGAGCCCACGGCAGGGGTCGAGCCGCGATTGTCTGCGGATGGGAGACAGCCTGCGAATACGAACGGGCGCTGTCGGCTTGTCGCTGTGCGAGATGACCAGCATCATATATGGGCTGTACATAATTGGATTCTTAAATCTATCTGTGCGGAGCTTTGACGTTTTCCCCGCGTCCGCGCGGCGTCGGGGTTCACTCAGAGGTCCCTGGTTGCCTCCGGTCTTGAAATCGGCCAAAACCTCCCAGGGCAGTAGCAGGACCCACCACGAGTCGTGAGAGTCAGCGAGGCTGCCTGTCCTGGCTAAAGACGAGTCACAATACACGTGTACACGTACCTGAGCCAATGTAGCTCGATTGTATGTATCTGCGCGTATACACACATATACATCGTCAGTACTGGGGAGACAAAGGCGGCCGGGCGTGGAGATGACCACATCATAACTTCGTGCGCCGTGCCTGTCTTCATAGGCGCTCGCTAACAGCACTTGCCCCGAAAGTCTGTTGAGGCGACACGGGGGGGGTCTGTCTCGTGTCTCTGTGTGTGTATCTACGTGGCGATGTGTTTCTCTGTATGCGTGTCTGTGTGTGTGTCTGTGTTTTTTCTGTGTGTCTGTGTATGTGTCTGCGTGTCTGTGTGTGTCTGTGTGTGTCTGCGTGTTTGTGTGTTTCTGCGTGTTTGTGTGTCTGCGTGTCTGTGTGTCTGTGTGTGTATCTGTGTGTCTGTGTGTATCTGCGTGTGTGTGTCTGTGTGTGTCTGTATGTGTATCTGTGTGTCTGTATGCGTGTTTGTGTGTCTGTGTGTGTCCGTGTCTGTATCTGTGTATCTACGTGGCGATGTGTGTCTCTGTATGCGTGTCTGTGTGTCTGTGTGTGTCTGTGTGTGTATATGTGTGTGTCTGTATGATTCGATGCGTGTCTCTGTGTGCGCGCGTCTACACCGACTGGGCTGGGTCCCCTAAATTCACAGGGACCCCTTTCGTAGTTCACAGGGACCCCTGTTAGTTCACAGGGACCCCTTTCGTGGTTCACAGGAACCCTTTCGTGTTTCACAGGGACCTCTTTCGTGGTTCACAGGGACCCCTTTCGCGGTTCACAGGGACCCCTGTAGCTGCCAGGAGGAGAGAGGGGATGCCCCGTTTGGTCAGGACAGGCTATGTTTCCTATCGCTGCCACTGGGGTCGGCTGTATTTTAAGAGCAACCGAGTCTGTGGGGAGCCCTGGCCGACGATACCTGCTCTCCCGATATAGCCTCGCACAGTGGAAAAACATCCATCAGCGCCAGTACACCTACAAGCAGCCTTCTCCCGTGAAGCCAGGGCACGATCTACCGTGAGGCCGGGGCACAATCTCGCATTCGGAACCTCGCGTTCGCTCGCACGTGATCGGTATGAGTATGCGAACTTTGTACTCCAGTGGTAGTGCCTTACACCGTTCATCCCAAACGCGAGCCTGTCTAGCAGCGAGCGAGAGATTGACCTCTTGCCGACGTAGACTGCTGGGACCACCGCTGTTGGCGAGCGCCTATTGAGGCCGGTACGACGGACGCGAGTGCGGCGTAGTCACAGCACCACGCCCGGCCGCCTTTGTCTCCCCAGTGCCAATGGGTGTACATGGCGGGTCAGCGACTCATTCAAGGCAGCCGTGATCAACGCTGAGTGTACAGCGTGCATGATGACATTCTTGATAATGATGAATGTTCTTGATGATGGTGATAATTGTGAAGATGGTCGTGAAGACAGTGATCCTGATTGTGTTCATCACATTCACAATAACGATGTTAATAACCATGATGAAGATGTTGATGATAAAAAATAAGAGCGTAAGAGTGATCGATTACACTTAGATAATAAGCAATTACAACATTAATAATTAAAAATATTAATTATTGTGATAAATAATATTAATTAGTATTGTGAGAAATAATATTAATTACTGTGATCAATCATATTAATTAGTATTCCACTCGTTTACCCAGGCAAGCCTCACTGAGTCTCATGGCTCGTTTCAAGGAGGCTCCTGCCCAGTCTCCGCCGTGATTGCCGACGTATGTGTGATCCCGACCGAGTGATCATCACGGACACATCGTCACTGCTGATCGCTCTGCTGATCATTACATCTCGGCGATGACCATGGTGATGGTGATATTGATCACGGTGGTGGCGGCGGTGATGAAGCTGTGAGTGGAATGCGTCTCACTGGTGACTGCACTGAGCACAGAGGGCGCGTGCACAGAGACAAAGATCCCCCGTGTAGCCTGTAACAGACTGTTGGGGCAAGTGCTGTTAGCGAGCACCTATGAAGGCGGGCACGGCACACGAGGGGGTGGATGGCCAGCACCATGTCCGGCCGCCTTTGTCTCCCCAGTTTCGATGTTTAGACACCGCACCGGGTACTCATTTGAGGCTGAGTCGACCTAGGGGAGGCCCAGTATCGGTTTAGATTTTCGCCACAGTTATTGGTCGTGAGCGGGAATTGAACTCCGGTGGCCGGGGGGGGGGGGGGGCAGAGAGAAGTGCGCTAACCACTACACCACCGCTCCCCACGCTTATATGTATGTATGTTGAACTCCTTTCCCACCGTACACAGCCAACCCGTGCTGATCGCAGGTACAGACACACACAGTACAGTGCAGTGCACACATCGCAATTAATAGAGAAACCAACATCAGCACCATGGCGAGCTGCAGAGCAATCAGCGAGGCGACCCGTGGCTTCATGAAGTCGGCGGCTGGCTGAGAGTGTCAGGATGAAGACCCAGATGTTGTGTCCGTGGGGGGTGCGGCTTCCCCCGGGACCCCCCCCCACACCCCCTAATCACGTGTTGCCCCTCACACCCGCGAAGCCCGCGAGTGTGCCGGTGCAACAGCGAGTACAGTCTAACTCTGCTCCACTGGCAATTATCTCAGTTAATCCCTCGCCCATCGCCCTGATTCTGGCCGTGAGTTACATGCCCGCCTGTGTCGCCCTTCGAGGACATCACTGGAGCTTGCATCAGTCAGGTCACGATCCTCGTTACCGGCACCACCACCACCGCCATCGTCAGTCACGATCGACACACTGCTGGATGAAAGCAACTCCCCGAGTTTGCCTCCATCACTCGCGGCCTCGCCAATTCAGAAAGGCGCCCCCGGCTCCTGGCCGCGTGGCCGCCCCGCGAGGCCACGGGGGGGGGGGGGGGGGGGGGGCGAGTCGCGGTGCGGTTGGGACGAGGCCAATGGCCCCCTCCGGAGACATTCCACATTCACAGGACGACCGCTGTGCTGGCTTTCCACGGAGTGGTGCTCATTTTGTCGAGGGCGAGATGATGATGATGTTGATGTTGTCGATGACGATGGTCAACTTTACCATGCCACGTGATACATAAATTGAATATTGTAAACGGGGAGGAGCGGTGGCGCAGTGGTTAGCGTATCGTGTCGTTAACCCTGCGAGCTGTGGCGGGTGATGTCTGAGTTGGTCCCGAACTTTCCCATCCCGCGCTGACCAGCGTGGTGAAGTATGGTCAAACAACCCCCCCCCCCCCCCCCGATCGACAATACGGCGAGGCGAAGGTGACTTCATCCAGCAGTGGATTAACAAGAGGCTGTGCACCATTATTATAGTATACTGTGTATATAGTACTGTATATAGTACTGTGTATATAGTACTGTGTATATAGTACTGTGTATACATTTAATGCACTTAAAGGAATGTTGGAAATTATCGTCGCCTTTTATTTTACACGCGAAGCAAAACTAAAGGTAACGAGTCGCGTTTCGGGCTTACTACTTCCAGCACGGCACACCACACCCAGTATACCCCTCGCTGTGCCGACTCCGAGTCCACGTGGCCACACACTGCAGTCTCTAGCGGCGGCTGCGTGCGACCTCGGCGATTGGTGAGGTGCTCCGAATGGGCGATTCGTGAGTCCGAGCGAGCTCAGCTGGGAGGCTGCCACGAGTCGCGTCCACAGCGTCGCGGACGCGCGAGAGCCGAGCGTGCGTCGGCCGGCTGGGTGACAAGCCTCCCGACGGCGATGTCGCCTCGCGCACGCACACACGCACGTGTACACGTGTGTGTACACGCGCGTGTACACGCGCGTGTACACACGCGTGTACACACGCACACCTGTACACACGCACACCTGTACACACGCACACTTGTACACACGCACACCTGTACACACCTCCGACTAGCATGGTTGGCTATGTACGGTGGGAAAGAGGTTCAACATACATATGTGTACATGCACACACCGCGTGTGTACACACACACACACGTGGTGTATGTGTACATGCACACACCGCGTGTGTGTGTGTACACACACGCGGTGTATGTGTACATGTACATACACCACGTGTGTACAGGCACACACGTGTGTACAGGCACACACGTGTGTACAGGCACACACGTGTGTACAGGCACATACACCACCTGTGTACAGGCACATACACCACCTGTGTACAGGCACACACACCACCTGTGTACAGGCACACACACCACGTGTGTACAGGCACACACATATGCACGCACAGTTTATCAGCTACCAGGCCAGTTGTTCAGCTGTCTGGTGAGTTGATCAGCTGTCTGGTGAGTTGGTCAGCTGTCTGGTGAGTTGATCAGCTGTCTGGTGAGTTGGTCAGCTACCAGGTGAGCTTATTAGTGATCTGGTGATGTTGTAAATCTGATGGAGCTTCAGGGCTCACCACTGAGCAACAGGGCGGCACCACCACTGCCCCCACCAATTCCCGTAGAAAGTCCCCGAGGGGTCCCGAGGAGTCCCTCCTCCCTCTGCAGGACGCCCCGGCAGCCCCTGCTGGTGCCGTGCAGTACGGTAACATGTGCAGTGCGGTAGCATGTGCAGTGCGGTAGCATGTGCAGTGCGGTAGCACGTGCAGTGCGGTAGCAATTGACGCCGCGGCCGAGTCGGGGACACGAGGCGATCTCTGGGGCAGCTTCGGGGTCGAGGTCGCCCTGCAAAGCGCAGCGGGCGCAGCCAGAGGGCACGTGGCGCAGAGTGTCTTTGTGCCTGGAGCTGTCCCCCCCCCACCCCCCGTGGTGGCCATGGAGTGATCGCGGGCGCAGTGAAGCAGCAGCAGCATCTACATCAGCATCTACATCAGCATTTGCATCATCATCATCAGCAGAATCATTAGCAGCAACATCATCAGCAGCATCAGCTCAACATCAGTAGCAGCCCTAGCAGCAACATCATCATCTCATCATCAGCATCATCAGCAGCACCAGCTCAACATCAGCAGCAGCAATAGCAGCCCTAGCAGCAGCATCATCATCACGCCGCACTGATTGCCACTGTAAGTGCCGCTTTCTGGGGACGCTCTGTCAGGGAGGGCTGTGGCGTTATTTATTTATTTCGCTATCTCACCCGGAGATTCCCGTGAGATGAGGCATCTCCCGTGCAAAGGAGCCCACGTGCCGACCGGCGATACAAATAGATCCGAGCGGCACTGCAGGTACAAAATCGCTCAACCTTGTCCAGACCACCGGCTCAAAAGCACTGTGGGTGTGACATGGTCGTACCAGACACTCGAGTTGAGAATGTGGCCGTCACAACAACAGGCGGTAGAGAAACAAGGACTCGGGACTGCAGACCAGTTTCGTCCTCATTGGGCCGCATCAGCACGGTACAGCCATTGGTGCATTCACGGAGAGAGCCGTTCTCGCCTTCCGTCTCTCGGAGCTGCTGATGCACGTGAGCCGCTTAATCTCAGACATCTCCACCGCTTCACTACCCCTTACCCCCTCCTCACCACTGAGTAGGTGGGTGGGTGAATGAGTAAGCAAGTGAGATTGGTGAATGAATAGGCGGAGGGATTTGTGAATAGGTGGGTATACGAGTGAGGAGCTGGGTATATGACTGCGTGGGTGCGTTGGTGAGTAGGTGCACGAGTTCACGATTTATGACGGATGCTTCTCCAGTCATTTACCGGCGCGTTCTCCTCTCGTCCCTTTCAGCTCCCACGACACCGAGGCCGAGCTGGGCCGGGTCGTGCCGGGTCATCTGGGGTCGCGTGGATGCGTGGACGCGCGTCTAGTTGAGGCGACGCGCGGATCATGACTCCTCCTCACCCCCTCCTCCGCGTCTCCGCCTCCAACTCGGCGCTCGCCAACAACCGTCGCCAACTCGGCCACGGCCACGGCCGCCATGATCGCCACAGCTGCCACCGCCGGCCGCTGCTGCTGCGGCCGCCGCCGCTTGCGCAACTGCTGCTCGCGCTGCTGCTGCTCCTGCTGCCGCCGCCGGCGCCGGCATCGCGTGGCTCTCGCCAGCCCTCCGGCGGGGACGGAGGCGACGGCGACGGCGGTGGCGGCGTCGCCAGATTCGCGACTCCCAACAAGAACTGGCCGCTGAACCACTTGGTTGTCGACGGCGGCACGGGCAAGGTGTACGTGGGCGGCGTCAACCGGGTGTACCAGCTGTCGAGCAACCTGACCCTGCTGCGCGACCACGAAACGGGCCCCGTGATGGACAACCGTGAGTGCTACCCGCCGCCGATGGTGCAGCAGTGCAACCAGGAGTCGGCGCCCAGCGACAACGTCAACAGGCTGCTGCTGGTGGACGCGCGGCGCTCGCGCTTGCTGGCGTGCGGCAGCGCCTTCCAGGGGGTGTGCAAGCTGCTCAAGCTGGACGACCTCTTCAAGCTGGGTGAGCCGGCGCACAAGTCGGAGCACTACCTGTCCAGCGTCAGCGAGCGCGGCTCGTCCGTAGGGTTCATCGTCGACCCACCGAGGCGCCCTCCCCGGATCGACGGCGGCAGCGACGATGGGGACTATGACGATAAGGACGAGGAGGATGAGGATGACGAGGAGGGCAGCGTGCTGTTCATCGGCACGCCGGTTGACGGCAAGGTGGACTACTTCCCGACGATCTCGAGCCGCTGGCTGAAGCGCGACGCGGAGGACGCCAACATGTTCGCGTACGTCTACCACAACGATTTCGAGTCGTCGCAGATGAAGATCCCGTCCGACACGCTCTCCATGTTCCCCAACTTCGACATCTTCTACGTGTACGGCTTCTCGAGCGGAGACTTCGCCTACTTCCTCACCGTGCACCCCGACACGCAGCCGCTGTCCGCTGACGCGCCGGCCGAGCGCTTCTTCACCTCCAAGGTGGTGCGCCTGTGCCTGCACGACCGCCACTTCTACTCCTACGTCGAGCTGCCCATCGGCTGCTCCAAGGGCGGCGTCGACTACCTCATGGTGCAGGCGGCCTACCTGGCGAGGCCCGGCCGTCGGCTGGCCGAGTCGCTGGGCATCTCGCCGAACGAGAAGGTCCTCTACGCCGTCTTCCTCAAGGACCAGAAGGGCCGGCGCAGGCCGCCGGGCGGCGAGTCGGCGCTCTGCGTCTTCCCGCTGCGCGCCATCGACGAGGCCATCAAGGAGCGCGTGCAGTCGTGCTACCAGGGCAAGGGCACGCTGCAGCTCTCGTGGCACATCAACCGCCTCATATCCTGCACCGCCTCGGTGGGTGCCGGCGCCGGACGAGCGTGGTGACGGTTGTGGTGGTGGTGGTGGTGGTGGTTGTGGTGGTGGCGAGCGAACCCGGCGCCCAGGGTTCGATTGTGTGTGTGTACGTTGAACTACTTTTGCGCCGTACATAGCCAACCACGCTAATCGCGGGTGCGGGGAGATTGTCGCTCATGGCTGCCGACACCAGTGACAATCCTGAGCCTCCCCCTAGGTCGACTCAGCCTTAAATGAGTACCTGGCGCGGTGTGTAATCATTGCCACTTGGCAGACAAAAGCGGCCACGCGTGGTGCCTGCAACCCACCCCCTCGTGTGCCGTTCCGACCTTCATAGGTACTGCCACTCGCAAACAGCACTTTTTTAAACATATTTCCATATATCGTAGGAGTCCTGCGATGTTAGTTTCTAATTTATTCAAAGATGTTTTGTAGTTTTGGTGACCCTAGGTGCCTCTTGCAAACGAGACTCTGCCTTGGCTGCTTAGAGTTATCACCTGGTCCAACAAAACCAACTGCTCTCGACCATCTTGAAAATACCCATAATGTTTTGCGCAGCGAAGTTATCCCCCACCTACCCTCCCCTCCAACTTGATCGCTGACAAGAGGACGGCTCCTCGGATTTAATCTGACTGCATCTCCTCAGCGAGTGGCCCGGTGCCGAGCTGCACTGTGCACGCGCTCTCCCCTGCGTTCAGAGGTCCGCTTGCCAGCGCCATCAATGTTGACATCGCCATCAATGTTGACATCGCCTTGGAGAATAGATCCAAACTGAGACCCTGAATACCAGCAGGTGTCCACAATGTGTAGGGTGTCTCTTAATCACATCTAGACACGCTGTGGGTGTCTCTTAGTCACATCTAGACACGCTGTGGGTGTCTCTTAGTCACATCTAGACACGCTGTGGGTGTCTCTTAGTCACATCTAGACACGCTGTGGGTGTCTCTTAGTCACATCTAGACACGCTGTGGGTGTCTCTTAGTCACATCTAGACACACTTTGGGTGTCTCTTAGTCACATCTAGACCCACTGTGGGTGTCTCTTAGTCACATCTAGACCCACTGTGGGTGTCTCTTAGTCACATCTAGACACACTGGGGGTGTCTCTTAGTCACATCTAGACACGCTGTGGGTGTCTCTTAGTCACATCTAGACACGCTGTGGGTGTCTCTTAGTCACATCTAGACACTCTGTGGGTGTCTCTTAGTCACATCTAGACACGCTGTGGGTGTCTCTTAGTCACATCTAGACACGATGTGGGTGTCTCTTAGTCACATCTAGACACTAGTGGGTGTCTCTAGTCACATCTAGACCACTGGGGTGTCTCTTAGTCACATCTAGACACACAGTGGGGGTGTCTCTTAGTCACATCTAGACACGATGTGGGTGTCTCTTAGTCACATCTAGACACTCTGTGGGTGTCTCTTAGTCACATCTAGACACTCTGTGGGTGTCTCTTAGTCACATCTAGACACGCTGTGGGTGTCTCTTAGTCACATCTAGACACGATGTGGGTGTCTCTTAGTCACATCTAGACACGATGTGGGTGTCTCTTAGTCACATCTAGACACACTGGGGGTGTCTCTTAGTCACATCTAGACACGCTGTGGGTGTCTCTTAGTCACATCTAGACACGATGTGGGTGTCTCTTAGTCACATCTAGACACGCTGTGGGTGTCTCTTAGTCACATCTAGACACACTGGGGGTGTCTCTTAGTCACATCTAGACACGCTGTGGGTGTCTCTTAGTCACATCTAGACACGCTGTGGGTGTCTCTTAGTCACATATAGACACACTGGGGGTGTCTCTTAGTCACATATAGACACACTGGGGGTGTCTCTTAGTCACATCTAGACACGCTGTGGGTGTCTCTTAGTCACATCTAGACACGCTGTGGGTGTCTCTTAGTCACATCTAGACACGCTGTGGGTGTCTCTTAGTCACATCTAGACACGCTGTGGGTGTCTCTTAGTCACATCTAGACACGCTGTGGGTGTCTCTTAGTCACATCTAGACACGCTGTGGGTGTCTCTTAGTCACATCTAGACACGCTGTGGGTGTCTCTTAGTCACATCTAGACACGCTGTGGGTGTCTCTTAGTCACATCTAGACACACTGTGGGTGTCTCTTAGTCACATCTAGACACGCTGTGGGTGTCTCTTAGTCACATCTAGACACGCTGTGGGTGTCTCTTAGTCACATCTAGACACACTGGGGGTGTCTCTTAGTCACATCTAGACACTGGGGGTGTCTCTTAGTCACATCTAGACACGCTGTGGGTGTCTCTTAGTCACATCTAGACACGCTGTGGGTGTCTCTTAGTCACATCTAGACACACTGGGGGTGTCTCTTAGTCACATCTAGACACACTGGGGGTGTCTCTTAGTCACATCTAGACACACTGGGGGTGTCTCTTAGTCACATCTAGACACGCTGTGGGTGTCTCTTAGTCACATCTAGACACGCTGTGGGTGTCTCTTAGTCACATCTAGACACACTGTGGGTGTCTCTTAGTCACATCTAGACATGCTGTGGGTGTCTCTTAGTCACATCTAGACACGCTGTGGGTGTCTCTTAGTCACATCTAGACACGCTGTGGGTGTCTCTTAGTCACATCTAGACACACTGTGGGTGTCTCTTAGTCACATCTAGACACACTGGGTTTCTCTTAGTCACATCTAGACACTCTGTGGGTGTCTCTTAGTCACATCTAGACACACTGTGGGTGTCTCTTAGTCACATCTAGACACGCTGTGGGTGTCTCTTAGTCACATCTAGACACACTGTGGGTGTCTCTTAGTCACATCTAGACACACTGTGGGTGTCTCTTAGTCACATCTAGACACGCTGTGGGTGTCTCTTAGTCACATCTAGACACGCTGTGGGTGTCTCTTAGTCACATCTAGACACACTGTGGGTGTCTCTTAGTCACATCTAGACACGCTGTGGGTGTCTCTTAGTCACATCTAGACACGCTGTGGGTGTCTCTTAGTCACATCTAGACACACTGTGGGTGTCTCTTAGTCACATCTAGACACGCTGTGGGTGTCTCTTAGTCACATCTAGACACACTGTGGGTGTCTCTTAGTCACATCTAGACACGCTGTGGGTGTCTCTTAGTCACATCTAGACACGCTGTGGGTGTCTCTTAGTCACATCTAGACACACTGTGGGTGTCTCTTAGTCACATCTAGACACGCTGTGGGTGTCTCTTAGTCACATCTAGACACGCTGTGGGTGTCTCTTAGCCCCCAGGACTCGCTCGGGTGATGTTTCCCCGTGGAGTCTCCACAGCCCCCCCCCTTCTCGCCTCCCACCGGTTGTCGTCGGTGTAATGATTCACGTGGCGCCCACGCAGCTCTGCCGGCTGTGGCCATTGTAAATCCCTAAAGCAAACACGCAAGGCCGCACGTTGGCTCACAGAAGCCGTAACGCAAACAGCCTTGGGTAGAGCTTCCTCGTCATCGTCGCCATCATCATCACGAGCCATGGTCAATCCACTGCTGGATGAAGCCCGCCACCTCTCACGATCCCGCGGTGGAGCGAGCAACCCAGAACTCCCACACGAGGGGAGGATACGTCGCTCCGTCACCCCGGTAGACGTCCCTCGGACGCGTTCCATCCCGTGGGCTGCCACTCCGTGATGACTCTCGACCGCCGTTCGTCTTGGGCCTGCGTGACTTCTCTCGTCCACGCCTTCCTCGCTCGCTCTGCCTCTCCTCGCGTCCTCGCAAGGGGCGTCTCTGCGTTGTGCGCGAGTCGTTCACGACCACGGCGTGCCTGACAGACAGCTCACAGCAGACCGCAGTCCGCACTCATTGCAACCCTTGCCCCTTGGGGCCAGTGCTGGGTCACTCTCCATCAGCAAGTCCAGATTCACCAAACTCGCTCCACCAGCCCTCGTCTTGCATCCGTAAGCAGCTCTTATTTAAAACGATCAAATCAGAATTATGTGTAATATTCAACCTCCTTCGTTGATACACTGCTGGATGACGAACCGCACCGTGCCGATCATGGGGTGGTTGACCATACTTCACCACGCTGGTCAGTGCGGGTTCATGAAAGGGAATGGGGGGGGGGGGAGTGCCCAGAACCGGTTTAGAAATTGTTCGCCACCGACATTAGCCGTGGCCGGGGATCGAACCTGGGACATCTGTAAACAATATCGATTCAGGAGCCTCTTGAAATCGCGAACAGAGGTTGCACGGGAGATATAGAGAGACCTCGGGAGGAGGGTTGAGTCGCCCTCTCTGCTTCTTCACCCGACCTGGCTGGCAGCTTTCGGCAACTCACTCGGAACCGGCGCGACTTGAAGAGCAGCAGAGGTTTTGATTTAAAGCCGATGGTGATTGCTTGTGTTGCAGTCGAAACGTCGTGAGAATTTTATTGTTTTATATTTTTACTATTTTATTATTTCCCTTCTACGTGACTTTACCGAAAGAACCAAGAATATAGCAGCAGAGGTCTTAATTCTTGCGCAGACATTCGCAAATTAAAATCCCATTTAAACTTCATTGAACGCGCATCACATTAATCTTGCACGGGACAGAGGCAGGAGAGGCGGGGGTTGGGCTTTGATGTCGAGGGAGATTACGACTGGATTACGGGCTCTGAAGCCACTTGCGTAAACACACAAAGACAAAGATCCCCCGGATTACCTTTGATAACAACGGGCGGTTGGGGCAAGTGCCTTTAGCGAGCACCTGTGAAGGCGCTCGCCAACAGCACTTGCCGATACAGTTGGTGAAGGCTATACGGGGGGACCTTTGTCTTTGTGAGCGAGTGGGTGCGTTAGGGAGTGTGAGCGAGTGGGTGTCTCACCGCGGCTCTGACGGGGCGGCTCTCTCGCTCTTTGTTTATTTATTTCTCATCGCGATCAACAAAGAGGAGCACCCCGTTGTCTGTCTCGCTGGCGGAGCCGCCTCGCGCCGTCTTCTCTGTCACTCCGCCGCCGCAGCAGCCGCCACAGCAGCAGCAGCAGCTCGGACTCGCGGCAAATCGAAGGCGACGTCGAGTCACATCGCGTGGCCACGACGTCTCCTCCTCCCCCCCCTTCCACCTCCCCCCCCTCCTCCCCCACCCCTCCTCCTCCCCCACCGCTCCGTGTGTCCCTGCGCGCGCGATGCATTCCCCCCTCCTCCTCTCCCCCTCCTCCTCCCCCTGCGCGTGCGTTTTAAATGCTAACATGTTCGGCGATGTCACATTTCATTCCTCGCTCAAGTGCGATCGCCCTCCACTTTGTTCCTCTGCGGACGCGGAGCGGCAGACTGCGGGGGAGGTGGGGGGGCAGTAGCCCCCCACTCCCACAGTGCCCCTAGCCGGGCCGAGCTTGAGGAGGCTGAGAAGCTCCTGCCCGATGTCTTGCCCCCCCGCCCCGCTAATGTGAATCTGCGAGATGTCTGCAGTAGTTAGAGGGGGGGGGGGGGCACATACAGTGCACCGATGAGTGCACCTGGGCAGTGCGCAGGGGGGTGCCGGGGCAGGGAGCGTTCAGCGTTTCACACCGACTGCTTCGTGGAAGCCCTCACAAGAGGGAGGGGTTCCCCCTCATTAAACAAGGTCGCACTTGAGGGCTGCCCCCCCCTCTTCCTTTACCCCCCCCAACTGTGAGCATGTGTGGAGGAGGGGCGGGGGGGTCTGTCATAGTCGGGGGCGCGGAGGGGCCGCGTCGCCGTGTCCCGGGGGGGGGGGGGGGGGTCCCGGGGTGCTGTGACGAGGCAAATGGGACGCAGACGACCGGGCAGACAGAGAGGGAGGGAGGGAGCGGAGGGGGGAGGGAGCGGAGGGGGAGGGGGGAGGGAGCGGAGGGAGCCACTGTGGGCACAGAGACGCGGTGTGGACACGCGGAGTGGGCCACAGACGAGGACGGAGGGACGAGCGGGACGGGGCGAGGCCTTCCAACGACTGTCGTCTCCATCCCCTGCGCTCTCCCGTACTCTGCGGCGCTCTCCACGACTCCTCCACCACTGCACTCTGTCCTCTAATAATATTTACAGCTTATATATCTACGCATTTCATAAAATCCGAAGGTGCTTTACGTGAATGACAATGGGGGGTTGGGTTTTAAGTGGCTCCAAGTTAAAACAGAAAATGCCTTCTGAAAGATGTCTTGAGGTGGAAGAACTTGAAGATCCAAAACGAACCGAACTCCCCGACAGCCTTCGACAGAGAGTCCGACCGTGCGGGTGCCACGGGAGCGAAGGTCCAGAGATCGCTGCCCACGAGATTTGAGCTTCGTTCTGGGGATACAGAGCAGATCCAAATCCACAGACACCGATGGAAATGATCTAAACCAAGTCCTGAGCCTTCTCCAAGGTCGACTCAACCTTAAATGAGTACCTGGTGCAGTGGGTAAACACCAGCACCACGGAGGGAGACAAAGGTGGATGGGGTGGTCCTGGCCACACAGTAAGGGTGCGATGGTGCTAGTGTGTGTGATCCCAATTGAGTAATTTGCTGGTAATTTTTCAACATTGGAATGTTTAGGCCAATACTAGTTGCCCAAACATTCGTTTCCTCTGGAGAGCCCGGAGGAAACGAAAGTAGAACAGAGGGAGAACACATCAACTCCCCACTCACCCGTACACACTCTCAACAGAACAGAGAGGGAACATGTAAACTCCGCACAGAACGGCACACCCGAGTCAGGAAGTCAAACCCAGGCACCTCTTGCTGTGGGGCACGAGCGTCACTCCTGAGCGCTGTTGACGTGTTCATTGTCCTCCTCCTCGTCGCCCCCTCCCGCTCTCAGACGATCAACATCACCGACCGCTTCTGCGGCCTCAACTTGAACCAGCCGCTGGGAGGCGACACGATCATCACGGGCGTGCCGCTCTTCTCGGACGACCGCGACGCCATGAGCTCCGTCACGGCCTACGTCTACAAGGACTACGCCGTGGCGTTCGTCGGCACCGCCTCGGGGAACCTCAAGAAGGTACGAGCGGCCGGCACCATGGGGGTGGGGGGGGGGGGCGGTTCGGTGGACCGGTGGGAGCGGCCCCGCAGGGTCGAGGGCCCGGCGAGCCGGCGGGGCCTCGTGGCGGTGGTGCACTGGAGGGGGAACGCTCCTTGTGGCTGGGTCGTTGCTGGGCTTGCAAAGACCGGGTCCCGTTGGTCCTGGGGGAAATAAGTGCGACAGCATGGGTTCGAAGACCCGTAGAGTTACACGGAGACACGTAGACTTGCATAGAGACCCGTAGAGTTACACCGCGACTTGCGGGGACGCGCGGCCTTTGCGTTTGACGCCGTGGAGAATCCTGCGCTCGGGAGGGGGAGGGCACGACGGCGCGCACCCCACGGTACATGGGGTGTGCGCGTTGCGTCAGTTCTGGCCGGGCTCTCGCGGCCCACACATTGGTTGTGTCGGAGAGGTGGGGGGGGGGTCCCTTGTTTTGTCTGCCAAGCCGACGACAGACGCAGCAGCCGGTTCACTGTTGGCTGTTGGACGAGACGCCGGGGAGGGTCGTCCGAGACGACGATGTCCCCCTGAGTCTCCCACGCCACCCCCCCCTCCCCCTCGTGCCTCCCGTGTCCGAGTCAATCAGCGAGTCCCCCACCATCCCCCGGTGTCCGACGTGGCGGGGAGTGGAGCGACTCCCGCTGAGTTCCGGTGCCAGTATCGGCCGTTGTCATCTTACCGAAGGGTTGCCGGGCCGCTGGTAGATGACTGGAGCTGGTGGCACGTGAGCAGTCGTAGCCAAAGCTACTGGACATGGTGTGCCGGGTGCGTACATTTTTAACGGCTTCACCGATCCGGCGGACATTAACCCAACAAACGCACGTGGCTAGTTGCCCAGAAGGCAACTCCGACTCAAGCTATGACGTCATGGCATCGTCATAGCAGCACTTCCTGTTTACATTGCATATGGCGTCATCACGCTGCCAATGGGGTTTAAAAACAAACGCAATCGGATGCCACCGTTACGCTTTAACAATATTTATACAGCACTGGAGGAATTATGCACATTCGTTACCTTAATGTATTTTCATAAAACATCCCACCATTCTTAAAATCAAGAATGGTAGGATCGCATTCGATCGTCACCGGGAGGAGACCGATGCCAACTCCGGGCAGAGCCTCCCGGGCCGCCGAGCCGCGAGGAGGGTTGGCGAGCCGAGCTCTCTGCTCCTCGTGAGTGCAGCGTCGGCGCTCGTCCATGCGAGCACTTGTGATCGAGCACGCAGTGGCGTCGCAAGCTCCCGCCTTCACGGCCGGTCGTGGCAGCGCTTGCAAATGTTTGTCCAGCAGACGCGCGGACGAGGAGGGCACCTGGACATCTGTGAAAGAAATAGCTTTGTAGCTCATCAGATTCCTCCGGTATCAATAAATATTCTGAATAAGAAGAACCGTGCCTACGCGTGGCTGGGGATGTGTTTCATTGTTCGCTACGGAAGCCGGTGCGTGGTGGGGGGGGAGCTGCCAGGGTAAAATGCGTTTCATATTTGCGATAATCCGCGTCTCTGGTAACGCTTTGATCATCTTGTCTGGTTCTCTCTCTCTCTCGGGTGACTTGAAACGAAAGTTTAATTCACAGCGGATCATGGTCGCGAGAGTTATGTACAGACAGGCAGGCAGAGCTCATGCATCCACGTGTTCAACTTTGATTGGAAAGTGTTATTGGTGATACATGTCAAATACAGAATAAGCTATTCTTTGTAAAACAAGAACGTGATCTGATGGTGATGCTGCTGCTGCTGCGTTGGCAGCGGTGCACAAGCAGAGCCCACAGCAGCAACAGCAACTCGGCACGCTCGTAAGCAACTTGTGTCCTATGAAGGGCCGTTGCCTAAAACGTTCCCTGTTTTAAATACAGTACAGCATTTTCATTTTTAGACCACGCAGTGTTATTGACGATCGTCCTTTGAAAAGTAATTATCATACAAATAATACAGATAATGTTACGTTGGGAGAATGTTCTCCGCCGGAATGCAAGTACTGTATATAATTTTGGAGGCCGACGAGAGAAAAGCGGGAGTGAATGCGGCGTGACCTGGATTGCGGGCTCTGTGTGTGCCCTGCGCTCACACAATGAGCGCTGATTTACTGCGATCACGAATCTCCGAGCAGCGGTGGCGGTGAATCGGTGGAGGGGGTGGGAGGAGCGGTGGCGCAGCGGTTAGCGCAGTCAGCGTGCTATGAACCCGGCGACCCGAGTTCACTTCTGCACAAGCTGGATGTGGACACTCGTACTGTCCCCAGGCCCCTCTTGCCAAGGGCTGCACTTGTTTTTCCTAGTCCGTTTGGAGGTAGCAGTATCAGTCGGTTTGGCCAGGCATTCATGATGAGTGAGCTCAAGGAGATTACAGCGATCACTCGTCATCATCATGAACGGCTTTGTGATAGGAGTGTCGTAATTATCGGCATCTGCATCGTAAAATCATCATCATACCAACATTGCCATCGATGTCAACCATGAATGATCATCATCATCAGCAGTGGTGGAGGAGTGGCTTTGTGAAGTCATCATCATCTGTATCAAGACGATCACCATCATCATCATGATGATGATCAACAACATCTCCGTTGTCATCACCACCACCACCTCCTCCTTGGCGTGCCTGCCCTCTTGAGAGAGTGGTGCCGTGGCCCCCACTGTGGGCCAGGATCCCCCCTGCCCCCCTCCCTGTCCCCCCTCCTCCCCTATTAAGACGACGGCGTCATGGCAACTGACAGCGGCGAAGGGCGAAGCCTGGGCCCCGCGTGAACGAGGATCCATCCCCGCACCCTGACCCCGCTCTCCATCAGCCGCGCATTCATCTCCCTCCACATTCTCTTCCATCCTCCTCCCTCCCACTCCTCATCCTGCTCCTCCATCCTAATCCTCATTCCCTCCCTCCCCCCTCGGCCATGCCCACCCTCCATTGCTGTTGCCGGAGGTGGAGAAGAGAGGCACAGGGAGGAGGAGGTGGGAGACGCAGGCATGGGGAGGAGGTGGTGGAGGAGGGAGATGCGATGAGGGGGACGGTGGTGGCGCTGCGGGCACGCTCGCAGTCCCCGCAGCGGAGGCGGCGCGTCGCCTCTCCCTCGCTCCCTCCGTCTCGCTCCATCTCCCACCATCTTTCATCTCTCCCATCTCCCTATCTCCCGCACTCTCTCCCCATCTCTCTCAGGCTGCCTCCGTCGTCATCTATCCGACTCTCTCTCTCCCTCCCTCGCCCGCTGCATCGCTCCCTCTCCACTCTCCCTCCAGCTCTCATCTCTCCGCGTCCCTCCCCCATCTCTCTCCATCGCCTTATCTCCGTCTTCCCCATATTTCCATCTCCTATCTCCCTTCATCTCTCATCTCTCTCAATCCGCACTTCACTTGCCTCTGCAGCGCCGTGAAATGAGAGACGCGATCGGGCAGTGGGGAGGGGGTGGGGGGGGGGTACGGAGTCGGGGGGGGGAGGGCGACGTTGCCTCGCCCGCTCGCCCGCTCTGCCGCGTCATCTGGATGCTCGCTCCATAAACGCTCGTTTATGGCCGTCGTTTGCGGCATTTCTGAAACCTTCCCAACGAGCGCCGTTAATTGAGAGCAGGCGCGCGTGCGAGGGATGCGCCCTCGCCCGCGGTGATTCACGACGCTGCCCCCCCCGCACCCCCCCACGCCACCGTCCCCAGTGCCCCCCCCACCCTCCCCACCACCTCCCTCCCCACCCTACCCACCACCACCACCTTCCTCCCCACCCTCCCCACTGCCACCACCACCACCCTACCCACCACCACCACCCTCCCCACCACCATCACCTCCTTCCCCACCGTCCCCACCACCACCACCTCCCACCACCTCCACCTCCCACCAACCACCCTTCACCCCCCCCCCCCCGATCCCCAAACCCAAATAGGCTATTTGGGTTTGGGAGATTTTGATTAAAATTAAAATCGACTGCCACTGTGTGCGAGAGTGACTTCCTGCGCAGGTGCAGCTGGCCGCCAATGCTGTGCTCAACATCATCACCACCAACACCACCATCATCAACACCACCACCAACACCACCACCACCATCACCACCACCACCACCAACACCACCATCACCACCACCAACACCACCACCAACACCACCACCAACACCACCATCATCAACACCACCACCAACACCACCACCACCATCATCACCAACACCACCACCAACACCACCATCACCACCACCAACACCACCACCAACACCACCACCAACACCACCATCATCAACACCACCACCAACACCACCACCACCATCATCACCAACACCACCACCAACACCACCACCATCACCACCACCAACACCACCACCAACACCACCATCATCACCACCATCATCACCACCATCATCACCACCAACACCACCATTACCACCACCAACACCACCATCATCACCCACACTACCACCACCAACACCACCATCACCAACACCACCACCACCACCACCGTCATCATCACCAACACCACCACCAACACCACCATCACCAACACCACCACCAACACCACCATCACCAACACCACCACCGACACCACCATAACACCACCACCAACACCATCATCAGCAACATCTACACCATCATCATCTACATACACCACCACCACGGTCATGTATTTATTTAGCGCGTACGTTTACGCTGCTCGTATAATTCCATTCCCCGGTGGGGGTAAGCGTGGTGGGTGGGGGGCGACGGTGGCGCTGATTCATTACCGCACCGTCGTCACGATGAGCATGCGACATAGACAAACATCGGCATGAGCAAAAGATGCTCTTGTAGCAGGACCCTCCTGCAAGCGAGTCTTGAGACTCTCAACAAGCCTTTCCTGGATAAATAGTCAACATGCAGAGAGATTTCCTGCTAAAATTAGAATTGAAGTGGTGCTCATACCCTCGTTATAATCCTGCAAAGCCGGTGGTAGAAATTCAACATTTCTATGGCGGGAGCGTCAACTTCCGAACAGAGTGGTACCCATTTGATCAACCTCAGGGGGATGA